TCACGTGAATTTATATTTATTTGTGTTTTTTCATGGCCTATATGATAAAATAAAATATTCTTGTCACCACTTGTTTTGTTGAACTTTTGGTGTAGTTTTTAAATATGTATGTTTTATTTTTTATTTCTATACCAATATTTAAATAAAATAGATTGAAAAAACTTGGGATTTTTCTTCGTTTTGCGAACCGGGAAGATCATTATAGGACGGAGGGAGTATATTGTAATCAAGTTTGTTGTTCAGAAAAATTGTGAATAATTGTTAGGGGAACAAATAATATGTACTTACAAATATTAATCCAACAAATTATAATCACCCTAGCCCTCTCAAATTGGAGATTGTAGGTTCAAACCTCTGGGTAGACCATATGGACGTAGTAGGTTCAAAAAATATATTTTTCCGTCCTAAAATATTTGTCACATTTCTTTTTTTCAATCATTGTCAGAACTTTTATTTATTTGTAATTTTTCATTGATTATTTGACAAAATAAAATATTTTTGACACCTCTTATTTCAAAGAATTTTTCATGTAGATAAATTTTAAAAAAATATGTATTTTTTTATTGTTATATCAATATTTAAATAAAATGAAATCAAAAAAATTAATATTTTATTTCATTTTAAAAATTTGGCAAACATTTAGGGACAAATGTGTTGGATAACCTTTGAGGCTTTGAGTAATACTTCCTCCGTCCTAAAAATGTTCTTCCCACTCACTTTTTACCAGGTTAAACTTTAATCACTTTCTTTATTTATTTTCATTAAGTATTTGATAAAAAAATATAGTCTTGTCACCACTTGTTTTGTAGAACTTTTGATATAGTTTTTAAATATATAAATTTTATTTTTTAATTTTACACATAGAATCAAATAATTTGAATTGAAAATAAAGTCAGTCAAACCTCGTAAAATGAACCGGGAAGAATATGATAGGAGGGAGTAGTAATTGAGGCTAAGAAATGAAAGAGTGGATAATGGAAAAGAGATCATAATGGTGGGCCCGGCAACAGAGACTGCATTGTTTGTCCAGATTAAGGAAAGATCGCCCCAACCTCCAAACTAATTATGGGCTTTAAAAAGATTGCACTATTCACTTAAGGGCCCACTCGTTTTGACTTGGACTTTAAGCCGTGGAGGAGATAGGACTCAGGTGCCTTGTGATCATCGAATTTCATAAATTAAAGAATTGTTCATCTGATCTGAATATTTTAAATTTTGATCTGTCTAAGATTGGGGTAATAGCATGGGTGCCCCTGTGGTTTACAAAAAGAGCGTCAAAACCTTCCATACTTTCAAAAGTTATTTGTAAAATCTCTGTGGTTTTTAAATGGTGCACAGACACCCCCTCTTGCCTATTTTAGATATAAAATGACATTTTTGCTCTTGGTTATTCTCTATCTTCAAATTTCACTCTTTTTTTATATTTTTCGTTATACAAATAAATAAAACAAAATATACGCCCTCTTTCTCAAATTTAAATTTTTCATTTATTTAATTTTCAAATTTTTTTGTTTTGAAAATGTTACAAAAATGAAATAAAATATACTTTTTCATTATAGGTAAAAGTAAAATAAATAAAATAAAAAATTGGATAACATGTACTCACTCTATCTCTAATTAAAAATTCTAACTTATTTGTTTTTTAAAAGTAAAATAATTTTTAAGGACTTTCAAAAATGAAGAGCAAAAAGATGAAATAAAATATGGAGTTAAAGAAAAAGACTACTATTTTTTATATTTTTTTTCATTGCCTTTTTAACTATTACTCGTATTACTTTTTACTTTGTACATAATATTTTATTTTTTATTTTTTTGTAACATTCTCCAAAAAAAATCTTTTGTTTTCAAAAGTACATTATGAAAAATTCTACTAATTTGAGTTGAGAAGCGTATATTTTATTTTATATATTTGTATAATAAAGGAAATTGAAACTGGAAAATTCAAGACCGGGAAAAATAAAGGGCATAAATGTCATTTTTGCTTTAAAAAATAGGTTAGGGGGGCATGTGTGCTCTATTTAGAAACCACAGGGATTTTACAAATAACTTTTGAAAACAGAAGAGGTTTTGATGCCCTTTTTGTAAACCACAGGGGGCACCCATGCTATTAACCCGTCTAAAATTATCTAATCCAAATATATTTGATCTCATCTCAATACAATATAAATTAAAAATGTGAGTTATCTGATCTTATTCAAATAAAAATAATTAATACATAGAAAAAATAAACTGAAAAGAACACGCCCCAAGGCCTTCTTGTCCTCACCTTAATTTTTCTATTTATTATATATTTTTATTAAAATTAGAT